CAACAAGGACGAGGAACAAATATAATATAATATAATATCATAATGGATTTTCATACGCCACTACCGCGCGACAATGTCTTTCAAGTGTGGTTATATGAAACTAATTTACAAAAGTTGTCCAATATGAAAAAGCGTTTAGAAGGCCGTTGCGGGTGCATTGGTGTTGTGGTGCGTTTGCCATGGCGTGGATAGATGGCTTTGATGCTATCTAGCATTAGAAGACAGTCTCACTATTAACTAGCGTCCGTGGGAGTAGTCATAATATACTGCTTATGAAATCATGGAATACTGATGGTCCTCTTATGATGAAACTCATATAGATAAATCCTTATTAACTTTAACTCTAAACCTATTAAGTATTTATCGATGTTTTTTCTTTAATAGAATAAGGGTGACAAATGAGCACACAATTCACCTGATGATTAGTGATTACACTACAGTACGTTTTTCTTCGATTAAGAATCAGATCAGATGCGTTATCACCCCTGAGGACTAAGATGGTATGTCCCATTTCCAGTGAAAAGAGTCTCCGGTTCTCTACACGCAACGATACGAAATAAAAAAAAGATTAAAATTGTTTGTTTTTGTTTTAAATACGCTGCTGTATTTTGTACCGGAACTCCTTTTACTGGAAATGGGGCATACCATCTATTATTATGTGTTATTACCAGTGATGCCTAAGATGGAATGCCTCGTTTCCATTAAAAAAAGTATCCGGTTCTCTACACTCACCATACGTAACACAGCAGCATTAAGCTACTATTTTACGCTGGTAATCTGTGAGAGCGCAGTCCCTCCCCGGTCGAGGAATTGTGTACAACTATACTAATAATACAATTGCAGGGTCGTATTTTAATATAATATTAATTTGTTCTAACGTTAGTTATATATATGTTTCTATACGTGGTAAAGCCAGGCTGCTGCTACATTATTAGTAGCTCAAATCGGTCGGATCAACCGACAGTATAATGCTGCTATTTACCTCGGTCGGCTTAGTGCTGCTGTATTTCGTATCGTTGCGTGTAGAGAACCGGAGACTCTTTTTACTGGATATGGGGCATACCATCATATCATACCATATATAATACATAGATGTAGATGTCTATGGGCCGCAGCAACCACTTACCATCAGGAGGACTGTGTGCTAGTTTGTCATCTTATCCTATAAAAAAAATAACAAAAAATACTCTTACTTGGTTATGGGGACTATCGTCAAAGGTGCTAGATGTTGAGTATTGCGATCTTTAAGCCGCCGGGCAAGCCGCAATTGAGGTAAATCATCCTTACTAAGATAGAGGAGGGTCATGCCTAGCAGTAGATATTAATAGCTTTGATGATATTTAAATTTTTATGTGATTTCTTATTTGATTTTTTTTACCCATATGCGGTGGAATAATTTGCCGGCGTATACCTTTCCGTTCGAATAAAATCTGGACGTCTCCAAGGGAAGAGTGAATAAGCTTTTGTTACGATAAGACAGTGCGATGTACTATCTACTGCTTCATTACTACTTACCATCTATCAAACACTGGCTTATAACAAGAAAAAAATATAGCTTTAAGCAAGAAGAGCATACATTTTTCGTCATCCTTGAGTTGGAGTGCCTCACAGCCAGGAATTGCACTTACTTTCTTACCCTTTAAACAGGAGACAAGAGTGGGTGCACTGCTTAAGCAAAGAAACAGGTAGCGGGTTGATATATACTTAGGCAGATAAGATGTTACCAGCTACTAAAATTAACAGTATTTTAGTCACAAAAATATTAAAAAATAATACTGAAAACTCTTGTTATTTCAGGTTGTTTTGTTCGCCATCCTAGCTTTGGCATTGGCTAGACCCCAATTGTACCCTGGTTATAATTATGGCACATACTCCGCCGGATACCCTGGATATTACGGTTATACCGGCTACAGCAGCCCTTACGCGTATAATGGATATGGGACGTATGGAGCAGCACCTTATAATAACTTTGGCTATGGATACTATTGAAATAGCAACTCAGAAATAACACATATTAAGTTTTGAGGACTGTTAATGGCGAGATAAATTTGTTACATTATGTATTTGCTATTAAAATTAATTTATAAGATCGTGTTTTTGTTCTTTTTTGTTATATTTGTTTATAATGTTATTAACCACTCCTGGCCAAAAATATTTTTAGATATACATATTTTATAAGGAATTTTAATAATACTACTTTTGTATAAGAAAAACAAAAGAGTGTAGTAAGCAAATAATCTCAACTTATAATATAATATAGGAGGAAGTAATATAGAGATAAAAAATTGACATGGTTGCTCAAAAAGGGTCCATTCAACTCATAAAAGACTATTTTTGTGATACGGAAGCTTGGATTCGTATTCTATGATAGTGGCTTGCTTCGATTTGTTTGTTTTTTGTTACTATATTATCCATTACGACTTGTGCTAGAATTGCTTATATAAAATGAGTGTAAAACCGGTATATATCTCTCATTTTGACACAAATGTAGGCTGAAAAGAAGAGATTCTTCGTTACTATCTCCAATTACGTTTATTATTCAATAAAAGCTCATGATCGCACTGAAGTACTGTGTGTACAAAAATGTATCAGTCTTAGAATTGCCTATGTCTAGGTTTATGATATATAACGGGGTGAACGACTGCGTGAAGGATAACGTATAAATTTTTTGTCACGCTTAATGTCGTTATACCGTGTCAGTAATATGCACATTATGTTATATCTTGTACCTTTGTTCTGTGTATTTCACTTTCGGCAGATACGGAGTACGGCATAACATACAAATATCTCTTACGCTGTTACTACGTGGTGACTTTCTACCCCATATCTTCCCGTGGGTGTCTTAAGAAGCGACAGAAGGAAATTAAAACTGAAGATGGACAGCAGGATTTTCCTAATAACAACTCAAAATATTAAAAATATGCGGTTGCCAACTGGAGACAATCCATATTTAGCGATGACTTTAATAGGTTGTAATGTTGTCAATGAGGACATACGGTGTATTTAAAATATAGAATCGTTGTCAAATCTGAGTGTTAAGATGGAATACTTGAATTAGTTAAAAAGGATGATTATGATTCATAATTCGCATCATTCACCATACGATTGGCAGGAATAATATGCTGCTATTTTACACTGATATTTTGTGGAAGCATGACCCTTCCTCAGTTGAGCTGATTCATTTGTGTTACAGCAATAATACAGCTGCATCGTGGCTTTAACAAGTTTGAAGTATATTTTTGTATTTTTAATTATTCTTACTTTATCTAAAAGACAATACAAGGAAACTACGAATCGGTGAATCCACTAAGCAAATCTCAATATAATTGAAATATTTATTTATGTAATTTGCACCTTTATTATGAAAATATAGTTCTTCTCTTAAGAAGAAGTCTGCTAGCTTGAGCCCGGATGTTTGGATGATTGGCTCAAGCTCGGATGTAACCCCGTCGTCGTGTCTTTTTCTTTGGTTATTATCATGTGTTTAATTTGCCCACCAAAGCACAGCTATAAAGAGACAATAAGCTACTAACTATAAAGAGACAATAAGTTACACATTTTTTATTTTCTTAATATTTGAATCTATATAGGTACAGGTAGCATGGCAAAATATAAAAGTGAATAGGTGGTAAATTAAAAATCTGTGTCTTGGTTTTAAACCAAAACATTAAGTACCATTTTCAACTGACTTTGAAAAAAGGAGTAGATTTACAATTCGACTGTATTTTTATGTGTGTTTCCCCCGAACTATATTCCAGTTGAAATGATTTTTTGAAAGCTGGTGCTTCTCACGTAGTCCCGTATAAATTTGATCGAGATCTGATTAGTAGTTTTTGAGTTATCCTTAATATTGCGTATTTAATTGACTTCTGCTAGGGATCGATTGAAGTCGGTTGAAATTTTTTTTAAATTTTACCACATGTAAAGCATAAGCTTTATAGCAGATACAAGGAGTTATGGACTATTAAAATAAAAGTCAAAGTCAAAAATATTGTATTCAATTTAGGCTTACTTAAAACTCTAACGTACGTTATCTACCAACGGTTCTCAAACATACAAGTTTCCTTACGATGTTTCTGTCACTGCTGAGCAGATGTTAAATTTACACTTAAAATTACCAGTAGAAATCTTAAAGAGAAATGTGAGAAAAAAATAATTATAATTAAACGCCATAAATTAATAAGAATAAATAATTTCAATAAGATTTAATTTACGGTTTAAATTTTTCGATATTAGCTCAACTTGTATTTTGTGTAGTTTTTTTAAATCTAATATAGCCGAAAAAAATCATTAATACTTTTGAGCATTGTCTAAAATATCGCATCATTATTATACAAAAAATACAGTCAAATTGAGAAGCGCCTTCTATTTATGGAGTCAGGTAATCGCGCTTAATTTGAATTGAATTTGGTTTTATTTTATTTTCGTTTAATTTTAATTTACACTCATTTTAATTATAATTTCAACTTTTAAACGAAATGTGTAAATCTCTTTTGTGATTATGCCGGTATTCACAATAATTACCAAGATTGGTGGGCGCAATAGCAACGGCGTAATAAAATCTTGCTAAAAAGGGCTTTGTTACCCAGCCAGAGTTTAATGCCTTACCCGATGTAAAAAAATTATGGAATATTTGCATCGATGCCGTCTATTTTTTCATCATGCATCATTAAAAGGTTGAGGTGAAACTGTTGTAGTTGTTAAAAATAAGTACATATACGTACAATTATTAGAAAGATGAAAATATTAGCCTGTATACGACCAACACATACAAAGTGCGGAGCCGCCGCAATGTGAACCTAACGCGGATGTTTGTTAATACAGATTCTAATTGTTAAGTTAGTAGTACATATATATTGTCTCTGTTTGAAGATCAAGGACACTTTTTATAATATTATGACAATATCATTGTGAGGCGTGGTCGTCTCGAATCAATATATAAGCCGGGAGCCTTGTTTAATATGTATCACTTGACAAGCACTGCAAGTAAGACATAAACGATGTTCTTCAGACTGGTAAGTTATTTTGAAATGCTAATTACTTTAATAAATACAATAATTATTTAAAAAGTAAGATACAATGGCGGCTGATATACTAGTCCCACCCCTGGCCTCATTTCTGAGATTGTAATGAATGGTTCGCCAACTTCACATATCTTCGAGCTAAGAATAATATTATTCAGAAATTCTCATTGCTACTGCATCATATACTTGCATTTCGGGTTAAAAAGTTAGAGAAGTTGTGGCAAATATGTCTTAGATTCTAGATGCAAAACTCAACTAGGATCAACATTTTTTCCCAGATAGAGGAGAACACATGAGGAGTAAAGGCATATTTTAAACAAAAGAAATAATACGTTCTTAGACAATATTATGTGAGTTCGTGTAAACAAAAAACTTTCTACCAAACATTTTCTTAAGCAGTAGAACTACGTTGCAGTTGCATTATGACTGCATTTGATCTTCAAGAATGGATTAGCTCGATCGGAGAAGGACCACCTTCGCTGAGAATACCAGCGATTAAAAGCAACATAATGCTGCTTGCTGTTTTTAGTTGGTAACTAGATATTTCATATTAGGCCTCAGGGGTGACAAGCATCTGTATTTAAATTGTGGATCAAGAATTGATGCAGATTTCTATAGGGCATACTATACACTTGCTTGTGTTGTGTTGTTCATTATCAGGTGGACTATGAGTTTGTTTATCCCAATAACTTGTATAAAAACTTTATACAGAGATTTGAACAATTCTAAATTCCTTTCAAGTTAAACTAAAGTTCAACTAAAACAATTTCATACATTTTACAAAGGTTTTAGTTCTTTAATAAACATAATAATGACTAATAAGTTTTCAAATTATAGAAATGTGAGTAAGCAATTTTTTTTTAATTTTAATAAAAACCAGCCAGTTTACCGTCAAATTTTCTTAAAGCCCTTTGAGTGATTGACTTTCTACTCCAAACATATTTAGACTGAGTGATCCAATTATTTATCATATTATACCAAAGAAATTTCGAACGCCTTAAATATTATCTCCCATGACCTATCTTTGTAGGGCTCCACAAAGTGAATGCCCTTAACATAATTGATTGCTAATATTATATTGTTCACTTTGAACCATCGATGTCACAATATGGGTAGAGTTGATTAACACATACTTTTGTAACAATTTCTATAGCTTTACGTGGTGGGGCCTTTTGAACTCCCGGTGATTACAGGTCAATATGATGTGGACTGAATTGCATACATATAATAGTCCATCAATCATACGTTAATTTTTAAATAATTTATGTACTTTGAAAATATCTAAATAGTTGTTGTTGTAATTTCTTTAAAGCTTTAGAGTTCTGAGTTCGTTAATCAAAAAATTCTTTAAACAAACCGAACTCTTTAAAAAAGTTTATTTTTAAATTATTCATATTAGATTATTGTTCCCGATTGCAAGAATAATAACTTTAACATAAGCAATAATTTAATTTTCTTAATTTATTTTTTTCAGTTTGCCATCTTTGCTATGCTGGCGGTTGCCTTCGCCAACCCCAAACCTGACCCAGCATTGACGTATGCAGCCCCAGCCGTAATACCATACGGATATTCCGCGTACTCACCTCTGGCCTACTCTTCACCTTATACTGCCGCAGCCGCTTATCCCTACGCCTATGGATACTACTGTACCTTCGCTAATTTTCCACCTGGACACGCTCCGATACCTGGACCTTCTCTAGATGCCATGACAATGATTTAACAATTGTTTAAATAAAATGTAATAGCATATTATTCTTTGTTTCTCTTAAAATTTACCTGTCACATAAATGCACAAATTAAATTACACATTGTTTTAAGCATTCATCATCATTATCAGCGTCAATGAACACTTGTCAAGTGCACCGCTGATCACTCTACCGTAACCACACACAAACATTCATTTCATATGTGGTAGAAGTCATGCTGCAGCCGTAATCATAGCTGTAGCGCGAATGCGTTGGCAAAATAAATAAAAAGTAAGTGGTCTTCAGGCATCATTTCATCTAGTGTGAGAGGGAAATCGTCCTTTTTTACTTTATTAGAAGGGCCACGGGAACCCTTAGTAGGTGGTCGTCATGTACTTCGCTTACCTATACGAGCCTGGCATTTTTCCCACCGTTTGTCGGTTTTTTGGGCTAAATGGCCGGGCCATTTGTTGGGCTATATTGGGTTTTACGCTTCTGCAGCGAATAACCTCATTTTGAAATCTACCGCGTGGGGAAACTCTAAACATAGACCTCTCTATAATTCACTGGGCTATCTTCAGTTTCCCCATACGCTTAGCAGTAAAGGACCACGTCTCAGATCTATTTGTCATTAATGGCAACAACCACTGTTGTACACTCTTGTTTTCAAGTTTTGCCCGTTGTCAGACACGTTTTACATTTTTTGCACATAATGCTAAAGTTTTTAAGCGTTTCGGCCCTGATGACTTTGTTACAATAGCTTTTCAATCTAGTGTAGTGAATATTAAAATGTTATAATTCCTATCCGGTAAATAAAAGTTGATTATGTATATCAAAGTCAATTGATACATAAACAATGTACCTGTTTTTAAACGATTAAACTAGATTAGTTTGTGTTTTACATAATTAATAGAAACACTTGAATAAAATAATTATTATCAACGCTATATCGCTTCGAATGTTCTTGTGTCAATTATTTATTGTATGGATACACCTATCATTATGTTAAAAGCTTTTATTTAACTTGCAATGTTTGTATGTTAGGGTCAAATTCTGCAACAAAATTTTAAAATAATAAAGGTGACAAACGAGCACACAGTGCACTAGACGGTTAGTGGATGCTGTGGCCTATACACGTCCATATTTTTCTTCGATTAAGGATCATAATGTAGATGCGTTGTCACTCCTGAGGACTAAGACGGAATGTCTCATTTCCAGTTAAAGGGTCTCCTATACTGTAGACTCACCATAAAAACACAGCAGCCTTAACACGTTGACTGCGAAACGAGGCTTGAAACACCTCGTCCGTGTCTAGTCGTTATAGCGGTAAGGGAAAACTTAAACTTCTCTGTCGTGCGAGAGGCGTAACTTCCGTTTGCTTCAGTCTAGGAAAGAGATAACTATATATCTGAGATGTGCTATTGATGCCGAGTTTTTTGGTATATCTACCTAAATACCGGATTTTTTAGGCCTCGTACTGCACTGAATAAATTAAAGTTTAAAACAGTGCGTTACGAGGTTGCGAACACCTCGTACCCCGCACACCTCGTACCGCACCCTACGCTAGCTTTACGCGGTTAGTGTTGTGCAAAACGTTGAACGCTGCACCCGCGACGATATGGATGTCGAAACGTTGCCGAAGAAAGTTAATTAATAATATTATTGATGATGAAGAGGAATTGGGTGGTAAATGTAATTCTAATTTAACGATATTTCAAAAACAGGTAAGTTTCCAATCAATATTTACAAATTATACTCAGTCTAAGTGAAATAATTATGTAGGAATATAACAAATAAATTCAACTGACAAAAGCAAAACACACACAGGCCGTAACGATCCCATACTTCATGTATATAAATGCTCCAATAAATCGCTACACCTAATCAACCCGCTTCAAAAATACATTATCAATTTTTTTTTCTTTTCAGAACCCTCTCCAAACAATCCACATCATCTCGAAAAAGGATCAAAGAAAATGAGATGTGTAGGATGCTACGAAAAACTTCGCACCTTCTTATCAAGTATTGAGGCTGACAAAATAGCAAAGAAAATTCTCACAGAATGTATCGGTTGCAAAAATATTATTGTTTGCCCTGTTTTAATAAAAAGCATCCATAAGTACAATTAAATAACATCGATATTTTTCCCCATCACTAAACAATATGAAAAACTGCCCTTTTTCAGTGCGTTATGGGGTACATAAGACCCCACATTTTATTTTACCTATAGAATCTAAACTAAATAATTCGCCCACAGGCGGCGGCAGATTTAGGTTAATCAACTCATTCTTAATGATAATCGCGACAAAAACCAGACAATTCGCCTTATTTGGCGCCATAAAAAAGGATTTTTGTCTCATGTGGGCGGTGGGGTTTATTAAGCCTCGTGCCGCTACGATCTCTGGTTCTGAACGAGGTTTCAAACGTCTCGTAACGCAGTAATGGAAAGTACAGATAAATCAGTGCCGCGGTGAACGTGCTAAGCTGCTATTTTACACTGGTAGTCTGTCAAGGCCTAGTCTTATGGCGATCGAGCCGAGCCATTCGTGCTACAATTAATATAGCTACAGCGTGGTTCTACCACATACAGAAACATATATAACTAACTAACTAACGTACATATAACTTTATTTCGTTAAATCAAATATATATTATGCTAGCTGATCAGACAGACTTTGCCTTTTACAACGAAAATTTGTACTATTATATACAAAAATACTTAAATTCGCAATAAAAATTTGAGCTTATCGGATTTAAAAAAATTTATATTATTTATTTTTTTTTTATTTTTTTTTATAGGGGAATTGTTTTTTATAAAAAGGAAAAGAAAGGGGGGGGGGGGGGGGGGGGGGGGGGGGGGGTAGGGTTGTCCGGCGGGGGAAAGGGGGGGGGGGGGGGCCTTTCTTACTAACTGTCAAACACTGGCTTATAAAAAGTAAAAAATGCAGCTTCAAGCAAGAAGAGCATACATTTTCGTCGTCCTTCAGATGTAGTGCCTCAAAACCTGGAAATTACACTTACTTTCTAACCCTTTAAACAGAAGACAAGAGTGGATGCACTGCTTAAGTAAAGAAACAGGTAGCGGGTTGGTATATACTTAAGCAGAAAAGATGTCCCCTACCAGTTACTAAAATTAATAATATTTTTAGTCATAATTTTTTTAATATTGAAACCTATTGTAATTTCAGGTTAATTTGTTCGCTATCCTTTTTTTTTTAACATGGGGAAATGCCTACGCATACCCGCCTCGCGGGGGGCAAGGACGGGTTATGTCGGACTCGCACCGACTAAAAGCCCATGGTGTTCCACCTTCGTCGCATATTGGCAGGGCTACGGGAACGCTTTCGCACACTTCCGCGCCTACCAGCGACTGCCGCCCCATGGCAGCACCTCCTCGGGAGAGGAATATTCCTCCCCGTTCTCCTTCCCAAGTAAGGCGCAACAGAACACATGGCACGCCTTCCTCCACGGTCTCCAATTGCATCTGCGCAACAGACGCCCCCGCGTCCGATGCGCGAAGGCCATGGGGCCAGGAAAAACGAGCACTTAGAAGTACTAGCCTTCCCGACGCCAGCGGCGGATCTGGTCTATGGCTCCGCCGCCAACCAAGATTCGGCTGCGGAGGATAGGGAGAGCGGCGCCTCGCAATACCGACAATCCTCTCCCCCCGCAGCCCCATCACCACCGCATCAACGGTGCGGCCCCGTTTGAGTCGCGGAGGATAGGGCGAGTGGCGCATCGCCATACCAACACTCCTCTTCCTCCGCGACTCCACCTCGGCTGCAGCGGTAGAGGGTGCGGAGTCTCCACTCGCTGCAGTCCACCAGCACACATCCGAAGTGGGCTCCCGGAGGAGGAGGCACTCAGAGTGGCCACCTCAGGGCGGCCCTTCAACTCGGGCCAGCCACGTGGGTTCCTCTTTGTTCACCGTGGGAGACCAAGCCACGGCTACTAAGCCCCCCCGCCACGACAAGGCGGGAACCCGTTCGGAGGGGGGGGTTGTTCGCTATCCTAGCTTTAGCATTTGCGAAATCTCAATTGTACCATGGTTATAATTATAGCACAGACTTTGCTGTATACTCTGGATATTACGGTTATACCGGCTATAGCTATTACGCGTATAATGGACGTACGGAGCAGCACCTTATAATAACTTTGGTTATGGATACTATTGAAATTCAATTCCGAAGCAACACATATTTAATTTTGAGGGCTGTCAATGGCGAGATTATTTTTGTTACGTCGTGCATTTGCTATTAAGATTAAACTGTAAGATCTTATTGTTTTTGTTATTGTAACACTTCCCCCCCTCTCAGAATAATAAATATGTTAGATTAAATATAATTAATTCCCCTTTATAACAAAAATTATATGTATGTGACTAGGATAAATAAAATATGTTTTGGTCTTTCTAAATGATCTTTCTAAAGGTTTGATAATAGGCCGTTTGTAATATTTTGGCGTGATCGTCTTAGTTAGTACCCTTATTTACGTTGTGTTTGTTTAGTAACTTAGTTCTTTTAGGTGTCTTTTGGAAGAATGAATATTTGCTAGAGCAATTGAAAGCTGTTGGTAGTGCCTTATAAGCTAAGTGAACCCCGTTCACGAAGACAGGGCTCGAGAAAGGTTAAGAACATAAAACGTCCCAATTCCACTTGTATCAGGTTTACATTATTAACTTAATATTATTTATCCCTTCCCGCTGGGAAAAGCTTCGCTCTCCTACATTTATTTAAAAAATGTAGGGAGAGGCACACGGCTCCACACACGCCGTGCACGGTGAGCGCCAACCATTTTGATGCACTCCCCCCGAAGGGAACGCTAATTCGGGAACTGGACCGTAGTCCACAGCAAAATAACTGGCGAACCAGTAAAAGAGGCTTGACCCCTTGCTAGTGCGTAAGCACAAACATCGACCGAAGTCGCGCATGTCAGTGCGTGTAAACGCCAAACAGAATACGAACGAATCCAGCCACAGTGAATGTACGTCACACGGTTTAGGCAAATAGGCACACTGGCTATAAACCCTCCGTGA